GTAAATTGTGGGTTAAATGGGTTTTGTGTTTGGGTTAGATGGGTTTTAGGTTAAACTTTAATGCATTTCACCCTTCAACTTTTCATTTCTTCAATTGAGTCCTTTGTCTTAATTTCTTTCATCTCCCTTTTCCAATTTTCTTCGCAAAAAATCCCCCTTTTTGCTCATGAACCTAACAAGGAAAACAAAAACAAAACATATTAGTTAAAATAAAAATAAAAATAAAATTCTACTAAATTTTGAGTTATGACAATCATAAGAGGTAGATGTGGTATAATTTCTTGTAACACTGAGTCCTTATCAATAAACTTGACTGCTGCATGCTAATAGTTTTATTGATCTATATCTTTTAAGGTCAGCATTCCAACAGAGGATTGCTACATAGGTTCTAATAGAGATTCCAATCAGATCCCTAATTCTAGCAATAGAAATTGGGGCTAGATTACTGCCTTAAATCTGTTAATTGTTATGTGTAATTACTTTCCTTCCTTGTAAATACAGTTGTATATAAATAGATAATGCTACTGTGCTCTCAGTATTGAGAGAGTGAGTAAATTCCATAGAAGTGTTGTTAAACCTTTTTAAGGTATCAGAGCACAGGAAATAATCTTTTGCGCATTTTTCCCTTCTACTCTCAATGGCCTCCTTGACAAATTCTACTTCCCTTACTATTACTACCATTGCCCAAATCTCTGCCATGGTTAGTGAAAAACTGACTTCAAAGAACTACCTCTCATGGCAAGATCAGATCCTTCCACTAATTGAAGGAATCTCCATGGGGGATCATGTTCTCTTTGACTCAAAGGCCCTTAAAGCTACAAGGTTGTCCTCAGATGGCAAGGAAGAACAAAATCCTCTATTGGCAATTTGGTTACAAGAAGATAGGCTAGTCAAGAGCTTGATCGTTGCAAAATTATCCTTAGCAGTTCGAAACTTTATGGTCAGACTCAAATCTGCTAGGGATGTATGGAAGGCCTTGGAGGAGCGCTTTGCAAACTCCTCTAAAGAAAGGGCTCGAGATCTTTTACGACAACTACGAGAGGTCAAAAGGGATGAACATCCTACACTTGATGCATATCTACAAGAGATAAATATGATTAGCAATGAGCTTGTTGCTATTAAAGAGCCACTTGATGATGGTGATAAAGTATACTAGTCTCTAAATGGTCTTGGTGATAAATATGATAGCTTTGTCACACCAATGCAGGTTCGATTTCCTCCTCCTTCATTTGAAGGGTTTACTAACTATTTGTCTAATTTTGAAAAGTGCCATAAGAACTTGCTTTCAAATGGGAAGCAAGTGTTTACTGCACATCGCGGAAGAGGTTGATACAACAATCGTCCTCTTAGAGGCAGAGGTCTATCAAGAGGAAGAGGAGTCTCTTCATACAACAACAATCGAACCAGCAACAAGAACTCAAATGCTCAACAAGAAGGATCAGGCAAAACAAATTTGAATCAACGATTATCAATTATATGTCAGATCTATAACAAGCCTGAACATAAAGCATTACGCTGCTATGAAAGATTTAATCATGCATATCAAGAGGAAGACATCCCAAAGGCACTCGCTGCATTCTCAATAACAGATTCACAAGATCCAGATTGGGTTCTTGATACTAAAGCCATGTCTCATCTCACCAATGATCCAGGTAATCTTGTTAATGTTAAACCATATCGAGGAACTGATAAAATCATAGTTGGAGATGGTAAGAAACTCCAAATTACACATATTGGTGATGCATATATTTCAACATCTTCAGGCACTTTATTTCTTAAACATGTTTTAGTTGTTCCTGATATTATATCAAATTTGATCTCCATTAGTCAATTACTTAAGGATTCACCTTTTATAATTGTTATATTCACAACTTCTGGCTTTGTTATTAAGGACAAGGGGTCTTGGAAGACAATTGCAACCGGTGTTAAAGACGATGGTCTTTATTCATTTGATCAAGACAAGGTTGCTTTTTTCTCTGTGAGACAAAGAAAGGCATCTCAAAGGATTTGGCATCATTGATTGGGTCATCCCTAGTCAAAAATTCTAAAATTCTTGAATAATAAAAATTTCATTTCTATTCAAGGTGTTATGGACAATTCAGTTTGTTCAAGTTGTCAAATGGGAAAGATTTGCAAATTACCTTTTTTTTCTAGTAATAAATGTAGTAGATTTCCTATTCAAAAATTGCATTGTGATATTTGGGGGCTAGACCCTTGTGCATCTATTCAAGGTTTCAAATATTTTGTGACCTTTTTAGATGATTTCTCTAGATATGTTTGGACATTTCCCTTAAAGAAAAAAATTTGACTTTTTTCAGTGTTTTAAGTCATTTAAGTAGATGATTGAAACTCAATTTGACAGCAAGATTAGAATTTTTCAGAGTGATGGTGGTGGAGAGTTCATCAATAATGAATTCCTTGCACTTTTAGTTGATAATGGAATTATAAGACAGACTTCATGTCCTCATACAGCTAAGCAAAATGGCTCCGTAGAACGAAAACACCACCATATTGTTGAATGGGCCTTGACACTCTTATTCCATAGTCATGCTCCTAAGAGGCTATGGTTAGAAGTAGTTAATACTGCTGTTTTTCTTATCAACAGAACTCCTACTCCAATACTGAATCTGAGCTCACCTTTCAAAATTCTTTTTGGAAAGGATCCAGATTACTCTATGCTAAATAGCTTTGGATGTCGTTGTTATCCATACTTAAGAGATTACAGGGAAAATAAATTTTCTCCTAAAACTCTTCCTTGCATTTTTATTGGTTATAATCAACATCATAAAGGATATAGATGTCTACATCCTCCTACACAAAAATATATATATATCTAGACATGTTATTTTTTATGAAATTAATTTTCCTTATGAATCTAATTCTTTCATTATTGGTATTACTCAGAGGGATTTCGACGATTCTAGTCCATGGCTAAACCTCACCATGTATTTAGAAGATCAAAGCCCAGCAAAAATAATTTCAAAGTCCTCATCTACATCAAAGCCACAAGGAGATCTATCAAAATCTCTTGCCATTAATGCTGATATTCAAGAACCTGCTCCATAGACTCGTGTAACACAATCTGCTTTACCACAAGAAGGAAACTTGCCACAATTTGAGCATCCAAACAATCAGGCTCAATCTTTTCATCCAGCAAGACATTTGCAATTAAACACACATCTAATGACTACTCATGGAAAAATCAAGGTAGGCCTCATACATTTCAACTCACAACAATTCTCCATTCCTTGTGAGCCCAAGACACTCAAAACTGCCTTGTCTCATCCAGGTTAGTACAATGCACTGAAAGAAGAGTTAATGGCATTATCTAAGAATCAGACATGGACTCTTGTTCTGCGCCACTCTTCCATGAATGTTATTGGCTCTAAATGGGTCTATAAAACCAACTTAAAAGCAGATGGTAGCTTAGAAAGGTTGAAAGCAAGGCTTATAGCTAAGGGATTCAACCAACAAGCTGGCATAGACTATGAAGAAACCTTTAGTTCAGTTATCAAGCCCCAAACAATTCGCATTGTGCTCACTATTTCACTTGCAAAAGGATGGACCATCAAGCAATTAGATTTCCAAAATGCCTTTTTACATGGCTACTTAACGGAACCGGTCTACATGAATAGCCACCTGGATTTGATGACCCAACTCATCCAAATCATGTATGTCAAGTCAACAGAGCACTTTATGGTCTTAAACAAGCTCCTAGAGCCTGGTTTGAACGATTCAGCCACTTCCTACTTCAACTTGGTTTTCTATGCAGTCGTTGTGATTCATCTTTATTCATTCTTCATCATGCTCAAGGTACAATCTATCTTCTCCTATATATGGATGATATCATTCTCACTGGTAGCAACTTTGTTTTTCTTGATGCTTTTATCACAAAGGTGCAAAATTTTCAATGAAGAAGTTGGGAAATCTCTCATACTTTTTGGGAATTCAAGTCTACATTACCCTTCATGGATTATTCCTATCTCAGAAGAAATATGCCCAGGAGCTCCTTAAATGTGCAGGAATGATTGATTGCAAAGCCATAGCAACACCAATGGTCACCAAGTCCTTGGCACTTTCTCATGTAGAGCCATTCTCCAATCCTTCACTCTTTTGAAGTTTGGTTGGAGCTTTATAGTATCTAACAATCACAAGGCCAAAACTTTCATATGTTGTTAATACTGCATGCCAATCCATACACTCTCCTACTGTTGGAAGCTTTCAGTTAGTCAAAAGAATATTGAGATATGTGAAGGGAACAATTGATTGTGGCCTTCATTTCCTTAAAGACTCTAGTCTTGACTTATATGGTTACTCCGATGCCGATTGGGCAAGTTGCAGTATCACGCGACGTTCCATTACAAGTTTTGTAGTATTTCTTGGCTCTAACTTGGTATCATAGGGAGCAAAGAAACAAAACACAGTTGCCCGCTTAAGTGCGGAAGCTGAATATAGAGCACTTGCATCCACCACGGCTGAACTTACATGGCTTTCTTTTATATTGCGTGACCTTGCCATTTATCTCTCTCGGCCTTCAATTCTATTTTGTGATAACATTAGTGCCTTATATATGTCATATAATCCAGTATTTCATGCTCGGACAAAACATATTGAGATTGATTATCACTTTGTTCGAGAAAAGGTCGCCCAAGGCTCTCTTGTCACTCAGTTTATACGCTCCCAAAATCAACTAGCCAACATATTCACAAAACCCCTCACTCCATATTAGTTTCAATATCTACGAAACAAGTTGGGTGTTATTTCTATCTCACACCTCAACTTGAGGGGGAGTAATAGAGATTCTAATAGGATCCTTAATTCTAGTAGTAGAAATTGGGGCTAGATTACTGCCTTAAATCTGTTGATTGTTATGTGTAATTACTTTCCTTCCTTGTAAATATAGCTGTATATAAATAGATAATGCTACTGCACTCTGAGTCTTGAGAGAGTGAGTAAATTCCATAGAAGTGTTATTAAACCTTTTTAGGTTCTACTTGCATGATCACATTTACAGTCCCCTTAACATCTAGCAGAGCTTTATCTGTCCTTGTTTCCTTTTCCCCTCTATCTATGTTGTCTCTTCTTCCCCTTTCTTTATTAGGATTTCTAACAAATTGTTGTGGGGCACCTCTCCTTATGAGCCTCTTAATTTCCATCTTCAATTGTTTGCAATCTTAAGTATTATGTCCATGTCCTCTGTGGAAAGCACAATAACGGGTTCTATCCCTATTGTTTCCATTGCTGTGAAGCTTTTTAGGCCAATGCATCCTCTCAATTTACATTGCAACATTGCAAACCTCCATTATTGGCCTATTGAGGGCTGTGAAGGTAGCATAAGTTTTCACAGCTTCCTGTGTAGATGGACGAGAATTCCTAAGGTTACATTCTATGTGCTTTTTGTTAGGAGAACCTCTAACTTCCTCAAGCTTTCTTTTCATGCCTTGTTCTGAGCTTTCAATAAGTTTGGAATCCTCATGCGTTTTTTTTATAACAACGTATGTTCCTCGACTCAAATGTATCCTTTCACCCTTCTAAGCAACTCATTAAAGCTAGTTAGCTCACATTTGTTCAAAGAATGATAAAATTTTGAGTCTTTGAGTCCATCCATCAACATGTGCATAGCCACTCCTTCATTTAGCTTTTCTACTCGAAAGCTTTATTATAAAAATGAGCCACATAGGCTGCACTATGAAAAATGCAGGAAACATGTAGAAGCTACTCTGCAGCACCACCAACTATAATAGGACGATGCAACTTTGTTAAAATGGCCACTGAAGTTAGCAAAAATGGCCACTCAAAGTCAACAAAAATGGTTAACTCCCAACTGCATTTTGCTTTTCATTTATTGTCTTTGTTGGGTTTTGGCTATAAATAGCTATGTTCCCTTCGTTGCATGCATAAGTTTTAATCAAAGCATTTGTGTTAATTCTCCTCCGTTTGAGTGAGTTAAAAAAAAAATAAAAAAAATAAAAAAAAATAATGCACTAAGAAAAATGCAGGAAACATGCAGAAGCTACTTTGCAGCACCACCAACTATAATAGGTCGATGCAACTTTGTCAAAATGGCACAACTTTGTCAAAATGGCTACTGAAGTCAGCAAAAATGGCCACTCAAAGTCTATGAAAATGGCTAACTCCCAACTACATTTTGCTTTTCATTTATTGCCTTAGTTGGGTTTTGCCTATAAATAGCTATGTTTTCTTCGTTGTATGCATAAGTTTTAATCAAAAATTTCAATTTGTAATTCTCCTCTTTTGAGTGAGATTTTGAGAATGAATTTCTCTCAATTTATCTCTGTATCTTAGGTCTTGTCAACCTAAGTGGTGTTTTAGGCATTCGAATTCATCATAATGGGATTTTAAATATTGCCAAAATCGATGTTTCGGTATCGGCTCCTGCACCATAGGCTCTCAATAATTCGTTCATGTGTTGCTTAATTGCCAACAAATGGTGATTAGATTTTTTTTTTTTTTTTTGGCACTCTACTAGCAGTAACATGATTAATAAGATTGTAGCAAGTTGATCAAAGGTTCGGATTGACTTAGTTGGTAAAGTCACAACCCAATTTCGTGTAGCTTTTCATAGGCTGGCTTGGAATTATCTTCATAACAAAGCATCAGAAGGCCATAAATCATCATATCCATTTTATAACCTTGCACATATTCCACTGGATCTTGTCTCCCATCATAAGTTGATAGTTGTAGACTTTTGAATGCTGGTGGTATAGGCTATTCTAAGATTTCATTTGAAAAGGGTGGTCCAATGTAAATTGGACGCGGATCTTCAACTTTGTTGGGCTTGTTATATCCCAGTAATAAGCGCACGCAATTCCTCTCTCTCCCTACGAACTGAATTGCTATAGGGCTGAATGCCTCCACGTACATGCCTTAGGTAAATAGGAGCTATTGTTGCTCTTGCAAGTTGTGTCCTTGAAGCTGTTGCACTATCTTGTAAGTCTGACGCATTGGTTCTATTGTTAGAGTGTCAGTTCCCTTTCCCTTGATAGCTGGTGAACACGGCTGAAGATTCTAAACCAATCTGTTCGTCTGTACCAATCCTCTGTCGTGAAGGTACGTAGTCCAAATCATGTCCTCCACTTTCTTGCACATAATCCTCTTGCATAAGTATCATGCGCGTTAGATTTCTGCACGTCAAGGGTGGCAAAGTTGTTTCTAAAGATGTGTTGGATTGGCGCAAGGTTGTGGGCTCAGGATAAACCTGGAGGTTCGTATTTAGGTCAAGCCTCCTGTCAAATTTACTACTGCTCTTTCTATTGCACGAACATTGCATCGTGTTTAAGCTATATCGTGTGTGAGTCTTTGAATTTGTTCAGAATCATTACCCTAACCCACACTTGAAGATGATTTCCCCCACCTACTTTTTGGTTGTCTACTTTTTGCAATTTTGGAGATCTTTCCTCTATTATAATTTCTTCTCCGAAAGAAAGGGATAAATCGATGGAAGTCAGTGGTGCAGCACCATAAAATGGGATTTTATGATAATCTGCACATAAGGCAAGGCTGTATTTTCCAATCTTGTTAGCAGTATCACCTGTGTTTGAGTTTAATGCATCAGTAGGGCATCCTCCATTTGATACAAAGTTAACAATAAATGAACCATTAACTGTACTGCAGTAGTACCATTTGAGGCCACACGATCTGCTCCAACAATGACAGCACCGACACGACCATCTTTCATTAGTGCAGCTGCGGCAGAATCGGCTATCAGAGTTGCAGGTATGTTCTCATGTACTAATTCGAAAGCTGTGAGTCGAGAACCCTGCAGTTAGAATGAGTAAGATATATCTAAAATATTCCCAAGAATATCAATTGTTTAAACATGGATGAGCTGATGTGAATGATTCACAAGTTATGACTAATTTCTGCTTAACACAGACTATGGCAAACAACAAATGATGTTGCAGCTGCTCATAGCACTAGTTTCCCTAATCAACCCAATGACAATACTTGGTAACTAAATAGGTACCTGATTGAATGAACGTGTTTCTGTGCAATAGGCCCTTTCCAACACTCCCTTAGCATGAAGGGCACGAATTACACCGAGGGCAGTACCATACCCAGCTGTTGCAAGACTGAGGAGACAAACAAATCAAAAGTTAGGATAATACTAATATAAATCAAGCTTGTCCTTTTCTTTTAGCCATCAAGTGCCTGTTAACTTGGTCAGTCTGACCATGAGATCAAAAACCTTCTTGCCAATCAGAAAGAAAAAGACTCTGCAAGTTTTTAAAAATAAACTAACCCATTGAAATTAAAAGAACAGAGAAACAGGTAAAGTTTTACCTTTTACCTTCTAGTGTTGCAATAGGTCAAGACTGAAAACCTTTCTGAGTTTTCCAGATGCCGCTGAATGAAACTTGCACCATGACCCAATTGCTTTGTTTGAAGCAACATCATCCTTAAGCATAAGTGCCGGAGCTTCAATGTAAGCCTACAACATTGTAAAAGAAAACAGGTTCCGCAGGCTGATTAGAAAAAAGTTGTTACTTCAAAATTCCATGCATTAAACTGTAGCAAACAATAAGTAATCAGACTGAGCATATTTTCCCTGAAGAAGGATTTCATGCAGGTAATGTTTAATAGTACCTGGAAAACAGCCTCGCTTTCTGTAGAAGCTGCAGCAGCCTTCAATACAACTTCTCTTAAGTTTTGTAGCAGCATCTGCAAGATTCACTGCAGTTGGGCGACTGAGAAGACACAAAAGGCAACCACATAATCAGCTACAGCTTGAAGAAGAAAGTTAAACAAATTCCATGCTCAAGATCCTAACAGAATATCAAGTTCCACAATGATGCGCATAAACAGGAAATATTACACAAACCAGTCACAATACCAACAGCTAGTCTGTAAATAAAGAAGCTGATCATCCAATCAACAATTAGAAACACCTTGAGACGAGATATTCCAATTTTATTGAAATGAAAGACGCAGCATCATCAGAAGTTCCAGTAAAGTCCTTCAAGTTAGAAACTTCTACAGCAAGGGAAAGGGCCGCTACAATGGCGATGGCAGGCGCCCCACGGACCCGAATGGCATTCCTAAGACAAAAAAATGATATAACTTGGAAGGACAATTATTGGTATACTTTCCAATTCAACACACCTAACAACACTCACCTGTTTCAATCATTAAGAAACTAATATTTGTAAATTTGAATTCAAGGTGGTAAAATTTCAAAGTTAAATTTTAATGATTGAACCAATAAGTGTTGTTAGATGTAATGAATCAAAGGATATACCAATTATTGTCCAATTTGGAATGCTAGCTGAGTATCACACTATTAGCCAATAAATAGGCAGGGTGAAAACTATAAAAACGTAAAAGCTAGATAATTGACAGGAAGAGTTAGGATACATTACCACCCATCTGTTGCATCTTGAATATTCAAGTATGTAGTTTTCAGAGGAAGCTTTCTCTGTTCGATAACAATCATAGTTCAAGTAAATAGACGCAATCAACTAAGAAGTTCCTATCCTCAAGGTGTCTAAATGGTTAAGTCAAAAGCTTAAGACTTCAAGTTGAAATTCGCAGGTTTGAACCTTGAGATGGGTGGTGGAGAGGGATTTGGGAAATGGAAAGCTATCCTGTTTATGACCCATCATCAAATATCAAAGAAACCTAAGAAGTTCCTCTTTTTAAATTGAATACATTTCTATTACCATCATTCCTTTCAATCTTATTGCATAACTTCAAGCAGCTTCCATGAAAGAATCTACCCTATAAAATCTATACTTTTTTTTTTTTACAAAGATAATAGTTAGAAAATTAGTATGAGTTAGTTGTTAACAACTGTGATTTCCAGAATGGTGAATATTCCACCCCCTTAAATGAGGCGTGCCACCATTAAACTGCAAGTTGGTGGAGTTCACGGCGATGACAGGGCTTGAAACCCTGACCTCCACCTCACACAAACCTTAATGTTTGAGGACGAACCATTGAGCTTCAGACCCGGTTCCCAAAATTTATACGTTTGTTCTCCGATAACAAAAGGGTATGACTGGAATCAAAAGAGCTAGAGCCACAGAAATATCTTAAATCCCAGTTAATTACAACATTAAATGAAAATACTGATTTGTGGTTTCTTAATTGTGTGATTTTCTCATTATTTTACCCAAAAACCAAAAAAGATTCTTTCATTAAAAGGAAAAAAAAATCCAAAAAGATCCTCGTTTTGTTGGTCCTCTTAATTTTATGATTTTAAATAAAGCATGAGGATTTTAGAAAATGTATTTTTTTGTCCTGTATGATTTTAAGATACAGAATAAATATATAATAAATA